TTTCAATTTTTTAGTTTTAGTGCCAGTTAAATTTGCCGTGAAGATATACATGCCAAATGTCACCTCCGTGGCATGTCTACATCTCGAAATCAACTCTATTTGCATGTACCATTCATTCTCATTAGCACCTGGCCCTTTAATAACTACGAGACCAGCTTCTATACATTCAAAGTAAAGTTTAAGTCTATCATAGGGCCTTGAAAAATGTTTTCAAAAAATTTCCCACACAATTGAAAAATGTCTTGGATTTTAATCATGCTTCTGAATAATTTCAAATATACCGCCTGTTTTGGGTTGCTAACTCATTTTTGATGTCCCTAGATACGTAAATTTCAAGTATTGTAACCCAGCTTTTGATCAGTGTAGGTTGCAGGTTCAAATTTTACATTTTAGCTATGTATGCAACGATAATTATTCTATAGGAAAATTCACGTGTGTCAAAAAAACTGTCACCTCCGTGGAAATGAATATCTCGAGCTATGATCACTCTTTTCAACCGCTCATCCCGTCAAAAGACTCGTTTTTCATGACCGAATTTTGAGTTGGGCGGAAAATTTTGTGTTTCTTATTTTCCATACTTACAAGGAGACCTTCTCACCTTTGGGTCATGGATTTGGCCCAAACTTTTTTTGGTGATTCAGGACAGTTAGAAAACATGCCCTGTTATGTTAGTTTATGTGAATATGCCGCAGAAGCCTTAGATAAAAAATAAAGGTCCAAATAATAAAAATAAGCGTATATAGTGCAATAAATATTCATTTCCTATACTCAAACTATTTTTGTCATTTGTTTTAAACACCTGGTTTTTGAAAACATTACATTTCATTGTTAAGAAGTTGTTGGATCTCACTCATGACACAAAACATTGCAATATTGCTTAATTTATGACATTATTAAGCGTTTAATTTCAATACGTATGGCCTTAAACGCTTCAAATAATTATTATTTTAATACAAGCACTGGAGATCCGACAAGTTCTTATCAAAACACTTTACACTAACTAATTTAACACTTCAAGTACCTAAACAGAACCAGGTGTTTAAAATAAGTGACAAAAATAGTTTGAGGATAGCAAATGAATATTTATTGCACTATGTACGCTTATTTTTATTATTTGAACCTTTATTTTTTATCTGAGGCTTCTGGGGCATATTCACATAAACTAACATAACAGAGCATGTTTTCTAACTGTCCTGAATCACAAAAAAAAGTTTGGGCAAAATCCATGACCCGAAGGTGAGAAGGTCTCCTTGTTAGTTAATCAAAGCAGCGATTTGTCACCTCCGTGTGTGTCACCTCCGTGTGTGTCACCTCCGTAACCGAAAATAGTCAATTTTAAGCATAAAATCGGACATGGTTTTCGTAAAACGAAATATCAAGGCCCCAGATTCAATGATTATTCATATTTTATGGTTTAAAAGAGGGTAAACTAGTTCGCGCCGTTCAATGTGACAAAAAAATTTTCACCATTTTTTCATTTTCTATACCCGAAAAAGCAGACTTCGGGAGAATCAACCATATACCAATTCGATGAAATGAAAAAAGCTAGCGCGCCTGACGCTCGCATCTCTCTATATGATAAAAGTCGAAGAAAAGTCTTCACTCGATATGAAAATTAATTTAAAATATAGCGTTGATATACGTCTAATTGCAGTAGATATTTTTCGGTGCGACTAATTGACAGTTCTTTCTGAATAAAAAAATAAATATGAAATAAATAATAAAAATGAACTGCAGTTTTAAAAATTGTAAAGGAAAAAAATTTTACTTCCCAAAAGACCCTAAATTAAGGAAACAATGGTTAGAAGCAATTAAAAGACCAAACTATAATCCAAAGTCATGTCATTGTTTGTGCATTAAACATTTTTAACTAACTGATATTTATACAAAAAGTATCCTAGGTAAGTATCATTGATAACTTTTTACTAATTTGTTCATATTCTTAAGGTCTTTCTTATATAATAGTATGAACAAATTAGTACAAAGTTATCAATATTACATACCTAAGATACTTTTTGTATAAATATCAGTTGGTTAAAAATTTTTAATGCACTTGAATTATTGTTCGGTCTTTTAATTGCTTCTAACCATTGTTTCTTTAATTTAGAATCTTTTGGGAAGTAAAATTTTTTTCCCTAACAATTTTTAACACTGCAGTTCATTTTTATTATTTATTTCATATTTATTTATGTATTTAGAAAGAACTGTCAATGAGTCGCACCGAAACATATCTACTGCTATCGAGATGACCCGATCACGAAAAGCATGCATCTGCGCATGACTTGACCTTCGACGCTGCTGTCATCTCGCGGCCAAATTTTGGCCATATGGCCTAATACCTAACGCGTGCTATAGCGTGTGTCATATTTATTATAAATTTTGTAGTGCGTAATACGTAAATAATATATATGGGTCAAAATAATACTTTTTTACGAAACCGTGCGCACGTATGTCACCGATCTTGACGCGCTTTTGGTATGTTATAGTACATGGTAAAAAGGTCCCAAAAAAAAAATTTTTAGGCCCCCTCCCCCTCCTACCCCCCACTTCCGGTATAAACGTCCACTTTCGATCCATTATTTTCTGAGGACATGAAGCAAATAAAAAATCTGAAAAAATACACAAAAATACTTTTCAGCAATCCAAACAACCTTGAATTTTTTCAGATTTTTTGAGTGCTTCAGGCCTTCAGATAAAATCATTAAAAATTTTGAAAATCGAGATACGGCGATATGAGCCGATGCAGTACTCGGAAATTTTTTCAGTTTTTTTGCATTGAAAAACATAACCTCAATTTTTTCAGATTTTTTAATTGAAGGCGATAGTTTCTAGGGCCGAAAAATGTTATTTTTAACAAAAAATGGTTCCGAGAACCCGATGGTTCCGGTGAAAAAATTTGAAAATATTTTTTTTGAATTCCTTGTCAAATTTTAATAAATTTTGACTGTTTCAAAAGTTCGATTGAAGCTTCCTAGCTCATTTGAGAGCATCACAAAGATTAGTGCAAAATATCTGAAGACGTTTCTAAGACACTAAGGAATGATAAAACTCGTTTGATGCTCTAAAATGAGCTAGGAAGCTTCAATCGAACTTTTGAAACGGTCAAAATTTATTAAAATTTGACAAGGAATTCAAAAAGAATATTTTCAAATTTTTTCACCGGAACCATCGGGTTCTCGGAACCATTTTTTGTTAAAAATAGCATTATCGGCCCTAGAAGCTATCGCCTTCAATTAAAAAATCTGAAAAAATTTGAGATTAGGTATTTTGATGAAATAAAAAAGAAAAAATTTTTTTCAAATTTTTCGAGGTTTCGTACTGTCCTAAAAAAATTATTTTCGTCAAAAAAATCGGTTTTGGGCTTCAAAAGGTGCGTTAGGTCATCGGAAAAAATCTGAAAAAAATTGAGGTTATGTTTTTTAATGCGAAAAATAACTGAAAAAATTTCTGAGTACTACATCGGCTCATACCGCCGTATCTCGATTTTTGAAATTTTCAATAATTTTTTCTAAAGGCCCGAAGCACTCAAAAAATCTGAAAAAATTCAAGGTTGTTTGGATTGTTGAAAAGTATTCTGATGAATTTTTTCAGATTTTTTAATTACTTCATGTCCTCAGAAAAAATATAGATCGAAAATGGACGTTTATACCGCAAGTGGGGGGTAGGAGGGGGTAGGGGGTCTAAAAATTTTTTTTTGGAACCTTTTTACCATGTACTATAACATACCAAAAGTGCGTCAAGGTCGGTGATATACGTGCTCACGGTTTTGTAAAAAAGTATTATTTTGACCCATATAAAGTTCGACGCCCAATAACATGCCAAAATTTCAGGAAAATCGTCTTGAGATGATTATATTTATTTTATAAGTCGATACGCTACTAAGCTGAGGTAAATCACACCTCGACTGACCGACTATACTATAACGAAGCTGGGAATGCGTAAAAATAATGATTTTTCAAAAAACTAGACGCACAATTTTTTTGTTTCAGAAAGTCAAACGATTAGTCTAAAGAATCGACTTTACATCCTTTTAAAGTCTCTCTCTCTCCCTTTCTCCTAAATTCTTCTTTACTCTACTCTACTCTCTCGCTTTCCATTTATAAAGCCGACGGATGTAAATAAACGCGCTCAAAAATATTCGGCAAAAATATCAAATTTTTTTCAGATTTTACGCGTGAGCTTATATAAGACTTAACAAATTTCGTTGAGGGATTTCGTTGAATTAAACTTTGTCAATATAAATGTAGAGGGGGAAGGGAACACGAGAGAAAAAAAGTCCAGCTCGGTTGCGTACGCACGTATAGATAATTTCAATCGAGTGCGAAAAGCGAATTCGATCAGCGGCTTTATGCATCAGGTACAGTATCAATAATATTTACTGGCGCACCCGATGGCTCGAGGCTTTTGGAGAGCAGAAAATACAACTTTGACGCGTCATCGGTGGCTGATTCAGGCGCGGCTCTCTAAGCTGTTCAAGGTTCTAATCAATGTCGAACAATAACGATCGCACATATCTTTTTGTCGCGCGTTGAGCGTGAAAAAATGAAGCCTCTGCGGTCGCGAGGAGGAGATGCCACTATTTCTAATTTCGCTTTGACTGGCAAAAAATGATCGTCAGTCAGCTCGTACAGACTAGATCGGCGCAGCTCTCCTCTTGTAGCTGCAAAATGCGCGAAGTATATATCATAAGCCTCGAAGATATTTTAACAAGGTGCGCGCGCGCGAGAGAGAGTCGAGTCGAGCGTCCGCCTACTCTACCTATTCCTTCTGAGCCCGAGTCTGCGCCCCGACTATACAACGTGTATATATGAGTACGTATATAGCGCGGCAGACGCGGAGTCGCAGCAGCCGCCCGACGCGAGCGCTTAAAACTCGACTCTCGTCGTGTCTCTCTCGCAGCTTCAGCAGCAGCGGCGGCGCGCACCACGAGCGCCGTCCACGAGGGGGATAAAAGCCAAAAGGGAGCGAGACAGAGACAGCGAGTTATATGTAGGCTGCGAGTCGTGTCGCGTGTGCTGTACCTCCTGCTTCTGGTGCTGAAGCTATCCTAGAGCTGCCACTACTCGTGCGCATTTTGCACAGCTGCTGTTGCTACTGCCGGGGAACGTGTGCTGCATCGAGACAGGAAGTCGAGCCCGCGAGACGACGACGAGGACGATCGTATTATGGCTCGGCAAGTTAGGGGACGGTGACGATCGCCATGGACAATCGAGAAGCGAGCGGGACGTAAACGAAGAAGAAAGACCTTTTCTTTCGAGAGAGAGAGAGAGAGACAGACGAGAAGGAATACATCCTCGAGGAGCGAGAGGCGTGAGATCGTTTGCTCGACGCGAGGCAGTGCAGGCCTCGAGAAGCGACGATCATGCGATTTTTCACTGTAGTCACGTGAGTCACATAACTTCCAATTGTTATTTTTCTATCTTTTTCAATTCTTGCTTTAACAACAATGTCGAATATAACACCGAGTGCAGTTGCGAGATTTTATCAACGATTTTCCCAGTGATTGCGAATTCGATCTGTTTATAAATTTGCAAGAAAAAAAAACGATTCAATAATTTGCTGTCGAAAAAAATATTGGAAAAATTGCTCGTTTTTTTATTACGCGTGTGTGCGCGCGCGATCATATGGTCGCATTCGTGTGAAAATTAAAAATTATTCGCGCGCGCTCGGAGGTATATATATTATATGAAGAAAAGCTTAGCTTGCGTATAACACGTTGCAGATTTATTTCTGATCCACGACAGAGCGCCTGGAATCGAGTAAAAATTATTCCAACGTTGCTCCTGCGGCTCGTGTTTGTATATGCTGCTGCTGCTGCGGGGGGCAGTCGAGGGGCCCAGGGGTGGGCGAAGAGAGGAGAGAGAAAGGGTTGTAAGGCTCGGGCTCGATTGGAGAGAAAGAGAGAGCAAGCAAATAAACCAGTCGAGCGGAAAAAGTTTTAATTAGAAGAACGTCGTGGTAATGTGGCTAGATGTGTGTTTGTGTGGGCGAGTTCGCGCGCTTAAACTGCATTATATTATGCCTTCGGCTCTCCCTCTCTCTCTCTCCCCTTTTTTTTTAATGCAAATGTAAGGAATGATTGATTTTTCCTCCCACGAGGCCTCGCGCTTTTTCATTATGATTTTGCCAGTGATTTTATTATTATTATTCGAGTCTCGCATGCACGCGCGTCGACACGCTCCTGTATATATCCAAAACGTTGCCCCAAACGCACAGGGGCCAATCGCAAAGCTCATCAATTAAGTCTATGGCGCGCGCGAAGATTTCGCCCGTCGCGAGCAGATTCTCGCGGGTTGTGCCCGAACGCGCGATACGTATTAGCGATCGCTAATACAGCTGCCTCGCTGCAGCGTACAACGAGAACAGCAGCACAGCTCGTCGAGCGCGTACATTAATCATGCAAGAATTTCGCTTAGCGCGCGAGGCAAGAGTCGTACTACTCGATTAAACGCGACTGCGCCACGGTGCAGCGCACGCGATTTTGGCCTATTGCTGCGGTACTTTTGACGCGGCGCGATATAATTTAATATATAATAATGTACATTATATAGCTATACGTATATGCGCAAGCCGCGAGTAGGATGTAATTCGTCAGATGTTTGCCCCGTAGATAGCTGGTACTCGACGCAGCCTTAGAGCAGCAACGGGGGGCCAAGTGGGAGAACATTTAATGATATCGCGCCGGAGAATCGTTCGAGCAAATTATATGTAACGAGAGACGAATGAGAATTCACAGTTCATGGCTTTACGCGCGCCGAGTCTTACGAGGAAATATTTTCTTCGGGACGTTGTAATATATGTACTCGCGCGAAGAATAGATCGTTAAGCGAGCTGCGCTAGAGCCGCGATTATAAATGGAATCCAAAGTATTCATATAACCAAAAAAAAAAGTACGTAAAATCGAACTCGGAGTCTTTACGGTACTTTTTCTTTTCTTCCTCTTGGGCAGCCAAGAGACGCCACTGATTCGTACAAGCTCGTTCGATTAAGGCGCGCTCGACACGAGTATAATGCGCGATAAGTGCACATACAGAGAGCAGCGCATCAAGACGCACTCGGATCAAACGAGCAATGCACGCGAGCAAAAGTCTATATTTTACTTGGCTCGTACACGTCTGTGTGTAGGTACGAATCTAATCCAAAGAGTATATATAAGTAGTGAGACTCAGCGCCTGTATGTCTCTCGCACGTGTGTACACACACGCTCGAAGGTACAAACGAAAGGTATATGTAATACGAACGACGATCCCTGTCAATTTTTCTCTAAGGTTTTGCAGGGCCGAGATAGATAATGTGCATATATTGAGAGAAGAAGAGAGAGAGAGAGAGAGAGAGTGAGCGTCGCACAACCAAAGGAATTCCTTTTTCGATCCTGTAGTACATAACATCCCCACCGGCATTAAGCGTATATATATCATGTATATATTATGTGCGTGTGCATGTGTACTTGTACGACGACGCGGTATATATGTAATACACGAGAAAAAAGCATCGAAACGATTATTCGATTTTGCGAGGCCACAAAGACGCTGCTGCTCCTGCCTTCGTGAGATCGACTATGTGCGTACCGTGCCTCGTGCACGCGGATCTCTTCCTGCGCAACTCGACGGGAGATTGAGAACGAGTGAGGAAGGAAAAAATTGTCGACTGCGAGCTGTATATGTACGATGGTACATCACCATAAACAGCCAATGACTCTTTGTATATAAATACAAAATTCTTTGCTGCTTTTTAAGAATATTTAACGAGCAATAAAAATTATTCGTATTATTTATTTGTCGCGACGACTTTGATTTTTGAACGAGTACCCACCGTGATCGAGTAATTTGATCATTTCCGTAAAAAAATTTCAAATATACCCTTGCAGAAATTATCAAAATTTGATGGCTAGTTTTGGCCAACGAAAATATTCTTTGAAAGTGATAAGGTTTTTAAAGTATCATTTTTCTCAATTAAAATGCGTTGACCGTAATATTTTACGCGCTGTTGTGAAATTTCATACGCATCATTACGCGATACGAACGAGCGAACGAACAAAGTTCGCAGCGAAGGTGTACGTCATACGCAAAAGCTTACATAAAGTGTGCAATTTTTCACACACTGGCGTTTGGCTTTAAATCTCATATTCGTTTGAGCCGTCTACTGCCTATGGCACGTAATACAGAAAACGTCGTATATACAGCTCGTGTGTATTTTTCCTCGGCATTTCTCTCTCTCTCTCTCTCTCTCTCTCTCTCTCTCTCTCTCTCTCTCTCAGAGCGACTCATCTTATTGTCAACGACGACGACAACGGCAACGGCAGGAGCAGCAGAAGCAGCGGTGACGAGTGCGAGTATACGCGCGTCTCCGCGAGCGGCATTCGCAAGCTCGCGAGCTTTTTTCTACGGCGTAGAAAAAAAAAGCAAAATAAGTTGAAGCTGTCGTGTGTATACACAAGCGTAATGGTATAGTACTACTCCCTGACCTCGTTCGACACTCGAGTGTGATGTAGCTCTCGTGTATAGCAGCGAGTTGCGACGCGACTCGTGTACAGCACCGTTTAAACGGCCACCACCCGCGTATACGGCGCGGCGCAGGAAGAAAAAAGGCGAGAGAGATAAAAAAACGTGGCATTAGCAATTGAAGATGCTCCCGAAACAATGAGCGATCGCTGACAGTCAAGACAGCTTATAATACACGTTTTAATTGACCCTCGAATAGACGAGTTACGAGCCATATACATGCATCTATTTTTAACTTCTTTTTTTCTAATTTTTCGGTCTTGACCTTCGCTCAACAGCGACGCATTGTTTCGGTAAAATTGTCATCGTGGCACATCTACGTGGATAAAATCTGATGCTTCGTCGAAAATCGTCGCGTTCGATGTAATGCGCGGAATTTTAATTACAATAATTGATATAGTACGACGAGTCGGGCGCACAATTGGAATATCGCAAATAGTCGAATGCCTGGCTTGCGACGAAGCAGTATACGCTCACACGATAGCAGCAGATATACCCGTACGACACGCAGACGGGAGGGAGGCATCGCACGGATATACACGTGTTTGTCTAAATGTAGCACGGGCTACATCGCTCACATCGCTCGTTATGCTGCTGCATACAAACACTCGAGGGATGTTTATACGCACGCATGAGTATATGCATGGCACAGCTAACGCGATGTAATACACGGTTCATCGGTCGCGGCGCGCGCGAAAGACGCCGTACGTACATTAACGCTGCGGGTTTATTAAGCTCTGCGATCGCTGAGTTACGAATTGCTCTATAGTTCAAAGTACGCAGCCGATGATATACCGCGAGTGCTTCTAATGCTTTTACGCGAGCCAACTTTATAAACCAATGTATGAAATATCTATGGGCAATCAACGAAGCTCGCATGCGTGTTTGACAAATCGATGTCGATGCTGTCCCCTACTTTTCTTTCTTTTTTTTTCACTGCGAAAACCATATAAAGTTTCAACTGGCCGATCGAGTACATACTTTCCGGCTAATTTTGTATCCTAATGGCTTCGCTGTATTATATCCCAACAACTTCCTAATGGAGTTATCGACTTTTCTTTTATTTCTTATTACACTGGGAACGGGAATTTAAAGCGGTGTTTGTCGTCGTCGTCGCGCTCCACGAGTTAAATTAAAAAATAATTGCCTCCTGGGCAAATCGAACGTGACTCTCTTTTCGTGGCGAGCTGATTTCGGATCCCGATGCCGATGCGAGAGAGGCTGCAAGGGGAGTATATATATGGCCGATTCTCTGTGAAATCGAATGGCCAAACAATTTTTTTTTCTGCAAATATGAAAAACTTGCTGTTTCCGATGTCAGAAAGGTCCCCAAATTTTATTAGAATTTTTGGGACCATCTATCACTCTTTTTCAGGGGCCCGAAGTTGGCCATTTTAGGGTTTTTTTGAAATTCATGAAAAATCACAAATATTCAAATAATTCCTGGATCAGGGTAGAATGATTCAAAAGTAAAAGTGCCCAGCAACTTTTTTGTTGGAAATTGTCCAAATTTTCAGAAAAAAAATATGCCAAAGTGATTGGAGCCACCTAAAGAGAGCATAGTGGGAAAACATAAAAAAAAAAACACAAAACAAGAAATCTACTCGAGTTCGAACCGAACTTTCATTTCCTAAACTATGTAAAAAGCTTCCCAAAGATGTCAACTAATGCCTGATAAAGTTTTGTAATGGGTCTCAAAGTTTAACTCAATGTAGACAACAATGTGTGGTGAAAAACGTGCAAAAAAGGACTGAAAATGGCTGTTTTTGGTGATTTTAGGCATTATGGGCCTATTTTTGACCTTTTTTGCATGTTTTTCGCCACACATTGTTGTCTATATTGCGTTAAACATTAAGACCCATTACAAAACTTTATCAGGCAGTA